ACGACGACGACGACGACGACGACTAATACTACTACTACTACTACTACTACTACTACTACTGCTACTACTACTACTACTACTACTACTACTACTACTACTACTACTACTACTACTACTACTACTACTACTACTACTACTACTACTACTACTACTACTACTACTACTACTACTACTACTACTACGACGACTACGGCAACTACGACTAGGGCAACTACGACTACGGAAACTACGACTACTACTACTACTACTACTGCTACTACTACTACTACTACTACTACTACTACTACTACTACTACGACTACGACTACGACTACGACTACGACTACGACTACGACTACGACTACGACTACGACTACGACTACTACGACTACGACTACGACTACGACTACGATTACGACTACGATTACTACTACTACTACTACGACGACGACTACTACTACTTCTACGGCTTTGACTATTACGACTACGGCTGCTACGACTCCCACTCCAACTACTCCTCCTGCTCCTCCTGCTCCTGCTCCTAGTCCTACTCCTCCCCTTCTCACTCAAACTACCCCTCCTCATCCTCCTCCTCCTCCTCCGCCTCCTCCTTCATTTCTCCACCTCCTCCTATTGCTCCTCCTCCTCCTCCTCCGTCTCCTCCTCCTCCTCCTCCTCCTCCTCTTCCTCCTCTTGCTCCTCTTGCTCCTCTTGCTCCTCTTGCTCCTGTTCCTCCTACTCCTCGTCCTCCTGCTCCTCCTCCTCCTCCTCCTCCTCCTCACCTGCCCCCGTTCCTATCCTCCTGTTGCTGCTGCTTTACCTCATCCTCCTCCCTCCCTCCCTCCCATACTTCCTCCCTTCTCGGCCTCCTCCCGCGCTCAGGGGTCGGGGGGGAAGAGGAATGGTAGGGGGGTGGAGAAGGGATGATCAAAGTCAAGCAAGGACGCATCGACGATACAACAGTACACCCTCCCGTTCCATGTCCCCTCCTCGCACGGCCCTGCAAGCACCCCCTTTCGTTAAGGGTGGCGTCCCCTTGAAAGACGAGCGCCGACCGCGCGTGACATTCAGGTGGGTTGCCCGTTTTGAAAAGGAACCACCCTGCACCATCCTTGAGACGGCTTGGAACACTCAATACGTAGGAACATATAATTCAAACAAGTGTCCCGCAAATATCTCATTTTGATGAGAAGCCCTTCTGCACCATCCTTGGCACGACTAGAACTGCCCAGATATAGGAACACAGAAATCTAGTAAGTGTCAAGCGGTCGTCGCATTCTGAAAGGGAACCGTCCCCCATCCGAGAAACCATTAAGCACGTTTGGACTTGCGCCGGTCATTTCAGAGGAACTAGACCGAGAGCCTTGTTTCAAAGAGCATTCACCATCTATCGGATCCATCGCGGCATCTACACTGAGGACATCTCGAAAGGAATCGCCCTCCGTCCGTGTATTTCCTGCAACCTTGCAAGACGAATACGCGCCGTGCCAAGCGAGAACTACATTGTGAAATCAGTCCGCCATCCATCCATTTAGCTCTTGCAAGCTGTCCAAACAAATGCGTGTGGCGTGAATGCAAGAAACCGCCGGCCCAATGGGCCAGAGGCGTGCTAAGATCTCTAGTATCTGCTTTACAATAATTCAGCTTCGCGCGCGCGGGGCGGCCCCTGGGGGCCCCTGGCAGAGAAGCACCCCGGGAAGGTTCCGGGCGACTCGGGTCAGAGATGGTTTTCCTCCTGGGCGCCGCCCTCGAGGCCCTCTAGAGAGAGAGCCCCGAGACAGGCCAAGAGACGGGCAAGAGCCCCTCAAGATGATACAAGAGAGCTCCGAGATGCCACAATATCGCTCCAAGGCGCCCAAGATGGCGCCCAGACGGCCCAACAGGCCTCCCAGAGCACTCTCAAGAGGGCCCCAAGAGGCACAACTCACTGCTTTTCCTCAAGTTTTGGAGAGATTTTGCCGTTTCCACCTTTTCGGCTTCCCGATACCCCGAGACGGCCCAAGAGGCCCCCAAGACCGCCCCAAGAGGGCCCAAGAGGGCCCAAGAGCGCCCCAAGAGGGCCCCAAAACGGCCCAAGAGGCTTCCAAGACTGCCCAAAAGGCCTCCAAGACGGCCCCAAGAACGCCCCAAGAGAGGTCCCAGGGAGGAGAACACGAATCAACATTTCGAGCTCTCGGCCATAAAAAAGCCCCCATAGGCAAAACGCTTCCAGACGGGCCGCGATGCGTTCAAGACTCCCCCAGCGGCCACCAAGAAGCCTCCCGAGAGAGCCCCCATAAGCAAGAATACATCACTCCCTATAGGCCGGCGGAATGAGCGAAGCGATTCAGTAAAATGCTGAAAACGACCTGAACTCCATCCGTATACTGTGGCTAGATTTGAAATCCCTCTTCTGCTTTGCCTTCCTGTGCCTGGCCATATTCCGCCCCTGCTCGCTTCCACCCGGCCCGCTCTCGTGCAGCCCGCCCCTTGCAAGCGGGCGCTTCCTCAGAGGGCACTGGGGCGCCAACCTCTCGGCAGAACTGGGTTTCAGCGGAATCGGGCCTGGCATAACCGGGCTTCGACGGAACGGGGCCCATGCGCAGTGGGCATTCGACGGAACCTGGCCTCGGCGGACCTGGGCCGGGGCGGAACTGGGCATCGACGGAACCAGGCCTGTACGGCGGGTTCATGTCGTGTCGACCCTGGCCCCTGGCGACACTGCGGGGGTCGTTCAACCTTGAACGATCGGCCGTTTCTGAAACGTCAGATCGTTCAACATCGACCGATTCTGGGTCGCCGGCAGAGTTTAACGTTGAACGCAGTCGGCGGGGTCGCCGCCAGTCGACACGACGCGAACCTACCGAATCGGGAATGAGGAGGAGGGGAACAAAAAATGACATCAGCATAACAACTTTTGAGGTCGGCGCGGATTCCTCCGATCGGCGCTGGGGCCCCCTGGCGCGCTTCGCGCGTCAGGGACTGGGGTCCAGCGCCGATCCGCGAAATCAGAGCGACCTCCAAGTTGTGATGTTTATGTCGTTGTTTGGCCCCCTGGGGAAAGAGAAGGAGAGGAGGAGGAGGAGGAAGAGGAGGAGGAAGAAGAGGAGCAAGAGGAGGATGATGAGGAGGAGGAGGAAGAACAGTAAAAGCCTGCTGCCCTCCCACCAGCTCCAAAGCGGCTTGTGGCGCGCGCACAGAGCGCAGCCTGATCACCACGGGGGTTACGACGACCGAGTGGGTGGCCACGGCCACCTTGCCCCCCCCTCCTGGCCTGGATGCCGGCGCGCGGGTAGTGCGGCAGCTCAGAGAAGAGGTACTGGGAGTCGGGCACCCGCTCGAGGCAGTTCGGCCCGAGCATGGCCTCCGCGGCCGCTGGCCCAGCGACATTCTCCAGAGGTTGCCCTGCTGCTACATCCCCTCCTCCTCCTCCTCCTCTTCCTCCTCCTCCTCCATTCCTTCCATTTTCTTATGAATAACTTCTCCCTGTCGTACCCCGAGGCTAGATTTTTAGGGCGGGCCCGGCGTTTCGCCTGAGCATTTATGACTCTGAAGCTTCAGAATTGGCAACAGCTTCACAGATGGAGGGCGGGTCGTTTTCAACATGTGGCTCTCGCCTCAGCGCGGCGCACATTCGTTTTAAACATTTGCAAGAGCTTCACGGATTGAGGGCGGGTCGTTTTCAAAAAGTGACTCTCGCCTTAGCGCCGCGCACATAATTTTTACGGATTGAGGGCGCGTGGTTTTCAAAATGAGGCTCTCGCCTTAGCGCGGCGCACATTCGTTTAAACATGTGCAAGCGTTTTACGGATTGAAGACGGGTCGTTTTCAAAATGTGGCTCTCGCCTTAGCGGCGCACATTCGTTTAAACATTCGCAAGAGTGTCACGGACTGACGACGGTCCCTTTTCAAAATGTGGCTCTCGCCGTAGCGCGGCGCACAGTCGTATAAAAGTATTTGCAAGAGCTTCACGGATTCTCATCATCAACGTGCCAGAAATGGTGTTTTGAAAAGATTCTGGATTATGCGGGTGCAGCAGCAACGTTGATTCGCTGTGCCGAAGTCCCAGGAATGGCATTCTGGCACCATTCAGTATTGTCAAGACGAATAAGTCAGGTTGACCCGTCGCGTTGGAATCCCGAGAACAAGGTTGTGGCATGCTTCAAGGTCTTCAAACGGTTGTCTTCCAAAGAGGCAGTTCCTTCAGTGGAAATGAACCGTTGTAGGGGCCAATGAAGCGGGAGCTTGGAGGGAGGGTTTATTCCAACATCGTTGATGACTCTTGGGTTTACTCTGGTCCTCCTCCTCCTCCTCCTTCTTTCCTCCCCCTCCCCCCCTCCTCCTTTACCTCCCCCCCAACCCTCTTCCTCCACCTATATACACTCTTCCTCTTCCAACTCCTCCTCCACCTCCTCCCCTTCCTCCTCCCCCTCCTCATCCTCATCCTCCTCTTCCTCCTCCTCTTCCTCCTCCCCCTCCTCCTCCCCCTACTCCTTCTCCTTCTCCTTCTCCTCCTCCGCCTCCTCCTCCTCCTCAAAACCATCATCATCACCATCACCATCACCATCACCATCACCATCACCATCACCATCACCATCATCATCATCATCATCATCATCATCATCATCATCATCATCATCATCATCAGCATCATCAGCAGCATCATAATCAGCATCATCGTCATCATCATCAGCATCATCATCAGCATCATCAGCATCATGACCATCATCAGCATCCTGAGCATGAGCGTCAGCATCAGCATCAGCAGTAACATCATCAGCAGCAGCAAAAGCACTACCACCACCATCATCATCAGTATCATCGTCAGCATCGTCATCATCATCATCATCATCATCATCATCATCATCACCATCACCACCATCATCAGCATCATCAACATCATCATCATCACCATCATAATCAGCAACAGCAACATCATCAACATCATCGGCAGCAACACCACCATCATCAACAACAACGACAACAACAACAGCAACAGCACCACCACCGCGTGTGATCCCAGGGCACTCACTGCCGCCAGGAAGTCCTACCTGGATCGGTTTCACAGAGGGCTCATCCCTAAGGTTCTGAGCGCTGCCGAGAAGGCGGCTCGCCAGGCCGATGGGTAATTCTCTCTTTCACTGGCATCGTCAGGTCGTTATTCACTATTCCGTATTCCACAATATCTCCCCTAGCAATTCCATCATGATCATGCTGTGTCCTCTCTCCCCTGATCGTGTGCTGTGAGGGGCGCCGTCCTACCCACACACACACATAATTTCAAACGCTGAGGTGTCTTGTTCGTTCCTTCTCGAATGAACCCGCTGCAACGTTGGCCGCATGCTCGGGTCCTTCAGGTTTGCGCTCTCGCCCCAACGCGGGCCACACTTCTGGATACGATCCGCTCCTAGTCGTTGCCGTCCCCCTTGTTTCCCTCATCCGTCTTCTCCTGGTCCTCCTGCTTGTCCTACTCCTGTTGCTCCTCCTTTCTAGCCATCACGCAAATCCTCATACGCATCCTCCTGCTCGTCCGCCATCTCTGCCTCGTACGATGCACAAGATCTCCATGTATGACCGCGCGATGGGGTCATTTGGGGGATCACGATCATCCAGGATACCCCAAGTGGCGGATGATACCTAATTCAGCGCAGCGGGAATGGGTGGGAACGGTCCGACGTCAGGCATGGCGGGAGCGCACCTAGCCCTCTTCCGCCTCCCCGTCCCCTCCTCTTTCTCCTCCTCCTCCTCCTCCTCCTCCTCCTCCTCCTCCTCCTCCTACTCGTGTCCATCCGCATGCATCGCCCCCCTTCGCGAAGGCACGAGCCATCGTGCAACAAAAAAAAAATGGGCCCGTGCCTCCGAGCGTCCGACACGACCGACGCAAGCTCTCCCAAACCGCCAAGACTGCCTACGCACAGGCGTGTTCCCAATCCACCTCTTGAAACACAACACGGTACAGGCATCGCCGCGTCAGCGCAGGCACCGCGGGCATTTGTCTGGGTCAGCGCAGGCACCCCGCATGGCGCGGCGCGGGCACCGCGGCGGCGCCGAAGAAGGCGGTGCAGGCATCCGGCGTGCATCCCGGCGACATCGCAGGCACTGTTTTTTAGAGGCGCCGGCATGCCACCCCGTCTGGGTTTATAATATGATGCAGAAGGAGAAGGCGGCAAGGGGGGAGAGGAGTGGGCTGCGTGGGGGAGGGGGGGAGACCCCCCCTAATCGGTTTGGGTTTTTCCTCGGATTGTTTTTTTCCTCGATTTGTTGTTTTTCTCGGTTTGGGTCTCCTCTGCTTATTTTCCTTTATTTTCCTCAGTTGGGTCTTTCATCGGTCTGGGTTTTTCCTTGGTTTGGCTGTTTCCTCGGTTTGCCTTCGGCTTGATCGATTGAGGAGTCCCGGAAGAGGGGAGGGGGGGTAAAGCCGTCCCCGGCTGCAGGCACCGTGGAGGTGTGCTGCATCGCATGGGTGTTGGGAACCTCCATGAGTGCACTCGACTCGCACTACCTCAGAGGCAACGCCATGCTTCCACAAGGCCCGCGGGCGGGGGAGGGGAACAGCGCCGCGTGGCGGCGGCGCCTGCTGGCCAGGGCCTGGGAGTCACTGGGTCCCTTGCAGCAGGCACTCTGCGCGCGCCAGGCGGGGAGGGACAGACCTCCCTCTAGCAGAACGTGGCTCGGTGGAAACGACCTCGGGCCCACACCTGGCGGGCGCAGGCCTCGAAGATACACGGCCGCGGCGCCCGCCTCGAGGACCGAAGGCGGACCATTCACCAATCGACGCGTCGGGGTAGGAGGTCTGCCCCACCCCCCGAGCAGAACGGCCTCCCGAGCGTTGCCCGCAAGCCTGGAAGAGGACGGCCGCGGCGCCCCCTCGAGGACCGAAAGCGGACCATTCACCAATCGACGCGTCGGGGTAGGAGGCCTGTCCCACCCCCGTGCAAAAACGCCCTCCCGAGCGTTGCCCGCAGGTCGCTGCCCGGGACCTGGCGCCCAAGGCTAAGTCGGGCGTGTCCCCTAAAGGGGGCTTTTCGACGACAAATAAAAAAAATACCCCCAGAAAAAGCCCCCAAAAGGTCAAGAAACACAGAAAAAATAGTCCCCAGACTATGTTTGAACAATCTTTTGACTATTGTGGTGCTATTTCTTTTATTGTTCGTCGAACATCCCCGACGTTACGCCCAAGGCCAGGAGAGCCCGCGGGCGTGGCCCTCCGACGTCGGGCCGCGGCGCGCCGCGCAGCGCAGCAGGCGCATGCCCCGGAAGGCCGCCCGCCATTCGGCTCCCGCGGGCGCGCGGGCGGTGCCTGCGGGGGATCCTCCAGGCCTCGGAAAAAACGGCGGACACAACGCGCTTGCATGACAGTGGCGCTCCTGGCGCGGCTCACATTATGATGTCGGCTGGTGCCTGCAGGCAGAAACGGACAACGTGCTCGAGCGCATCACGCCCCACCAGCCCTCTGGGCAGTAGGCGCCTCCTCTTCCAACCCCGTTGTCCCCCTTCGGTGAGGGCTTTCCCCCTTCCCCTTCCCTCCAGGCCTCGGAAAAAAATGGCGGACACTCGTGCCACATGCATCTGTGGACGCCTCCCCCTCCCCCCAGTGTTCAGAGTTGAGCGGTGGGTCCGACGAGTCGCACTCCCCCGCGCGTGCCAGCCTCGAGTTTGGGGGGCAGGGGGGGGTGTTCACTGATGGTTTCCCTCTACCGTCGTGCACGCCATCACCCTGTTGAAGCGTATTCGCTTGTGGTGGTAACAAGTGGCGCCGACATTCGATATGACCCACCGATGCGAGATATGATGGGGCAGTGCGCAATATGGCATGCGTTGAGGTAACATGCGGTAGTGCGATATACCAGGTGCTCATGTATATGGCCATCCACAAATATGAATGCAAGGTTCGTGTACGGAACGTGCGGTCTACTACTATGTGCGAATCTAGCATGCGAAAATGTATAAGATGATGCGATGACTCAACTTTACATGACCAGCGTTATCCGCCAGCCCCCTTTGTGGGGCCACCAGGCTGTGGGACGAAGTTGCTGCTCCCTGCACCCGTTGCAGTTTCAAGTCTCGAATGTTACAGTCCTGCTTTCTGCTTACTGCTGCGACTTGTTGGAGTCCGCGCGAGGAGGGGGAGCCCTAAACCGCCCAGTTACCACGCCCGGATCGCGTTCTCTGAATTCAGGGGAGGGCGTGGGACACGGCTAAACAACATGATATTCGCGTCGTACACAATATTCGCGTCTCCGAGGCCACACACGCTCGTAAAGTCTACAATGTTGGGCAACAAACCCTCGTACATTACCCAATATTCGCGTCCCCGAGGCAACACACCTCGCGAAGTACGCAAGATTCGAGTCCCCGAAGCCATAAACCTTCGCAATGCCGCGGACAAGAGTGCTCCAAGGCGCCCGAATATGGTCCCAAGACGGCCAAAGAGGGCCCAAGGAGGCCCCAAGAGCGCTCCAAGAGGCCTCCCGAGAGAGCACCAAGAGGCCCACATCGTAGATGTTACGAAGGTGTTTGAAGGATTGTTGCCTTCTCGCATGTTCGGCCTTCCGACGCTCCAAGACGGCTCAAGAAGCTCCCTAGACCGCCGCAAGACAGCCCAAGACGCCTCCAAGAGGGCCTCAAGACGGCCCAATAGGGCTCCAAGATGGCCCAATGAGCGCTCAAGACGGCCCACGAGGGTTGCAAGACGGCCCCAAGAGGGGCCCAAGCAGGGGACCACGAACCGAACATTCGATATTTGTGCCCCGACAGGCCCCCAGAAGGCCCCAAGAGGCCCCCAAGAGGCCCCAAGAGGTGACCAAGAGGCGCGCCCAAGAAGCCTGCAAGAGGCTCAATGGATACCACACGAGGCCCCCAAGAGGCGCCCGTACCGCCTGCAAGAGGCCCCCGAGAGGCTCCCCACGACACCCCAACACATATACAAGAGGCCTCAGACCCACAACCCAGGCACGGTGGCGGGATGGGCCGAAGGCCACTCCGATCCGCCGCCCCCTGTTGCTTGCAACAGGGGTGCCTGGCGTGCCAGATTATATGGCTTTTGGTTTTGGTTCCTTTTCCAAAAAAACTCCCCCTGGGGCTTCGGCCCGTCCCGCCGGCCACCCAGAAAGGATATCAAAACGCGTCCGTCGTGCCTCTGTTTCGTCTAGTTGGCCCAAGATGGCGTCCAAGACGGCTAAGATGGCCCAGGATGGTCTCCAAGACGGCCTCCCAGACGGCTAAGATGGCCCCAAGATGCCTCCAAGACGGCCCAAGATGGCCTCAATATGGTCCAAGACGGCCGAAAAGGCCCGCAAGAGGCAGACGGCCCAAAAGGCCTCCAAGAGGTCCTCCAGGAAGGCCCCAAAGGCCCCCAAGACGGCCCCAAGACGGCCCCAAAGCGGCCCAAGAGGCCTTCAAGACGCCCATGATGGCCTAAGAAGCCCTGATATGCCCCAAGAGGGCCCCAAGACGACCCAGACAGGCCACCAAGACGGCTTCCGAAGGCGTCGGACAAGCCAGGAACGCCCTAAACTGGCCCAAGGGACCTCCAAAACGGCCCCACATGAGCCGAATAAGGGACGAACGGAAGGGAGGAAGAAGACGGCAAGCGAGATCCCAATGTTGAAATGGAACCGTCCTTCACCCGTGCAATGGTTGCACATTTTGGACCTACGGGTCATCGATTTCGGGGGAGGCTCGAGCGAGAGCCGCATTTCGAAAAAACGGGCTGGCAAGCCGCATGCTTTAAATGACCAGCCCTCCGTCGCTGAAGCTGTTGAAGTTCCTTTCTTACCAATACATCTTAAGGCAGTCTCAAGCGAAACGCCCAGGTCTGGCCTTCGGACACGTCTGGTGGCGCGCGCGCGCGACAGCGGGGAGCTATCCAGCAGCCTGCTGCGAGTCCCTCTACCGTGCCAATCCAGCATCCTGGGTGGCGACTCTTCGGGAGGGCAGTGGAGGCCGTCACGTGTGACACCTCGTGCCCCCAGGCTTGCAAGAGTCCAAGAACTCCGAGACGTGTGCAACAGCTGCACGGATGCAGGACAGATCCTCGTCAAAACAGGGCAATCGCTGGACACTTCCTCGAGCTTTATCATCCTACCTTTAAGTCGGGCCTGTCCCCCTACAGGATTTTCAACGAAAAATAAAAAATACCCCCGAAATGCCCCGAAAAAGTCAAAACATACTCCAAACATAGTCCCCTGACTATTTTTGGACTGTTTTTTGATTATTTCTGGGGTATGGTATTTTCTATTTTTCGTCGAAAATCCCCCTGTAGGGGGACAGGCCCGACTTAATCCTACCTCTTGGGGGTCTCGCCTGAGTGGCAGGGTTTTCCTATATTTTTTCTGGGTCTCTGTCTTCCCCCCCACTTCCCATATTTTCCCACATCTTCCTGGGAATCGACGATCCATTGTGTCTGTGTGTTTTTTCCCCCTCCTGAAGATCCTCATCAAAACAGGGCAATCGCTGGACACTTCCTCGAGCTTTATCACCCTGCCTCCTGGGGGCCTCGCCCGAGCGGCAGGCCGGCGAGCCCACAGGGCGTGCGCCACTCTCGAGGGGGGCGCCTCCCACGGTGGCCAAGGGAGCACTTGCAGGGACTTCTGGAAGCTTGGAAATTGGCACCAACACCAGCATCAGGGGTTGCCTCCGCGGGAGGAAGACGATCCTGGATTTTGGTGTTGGTGGTAATCTTTCGGCCACCTAGAAAGCCCGAATCTTGCCACCATCACCTGGATCGGGATCATCTTCCCTCGGTGGAAGCACGCCGATATTGGTGTTGGTGTCAACCTCTAGGCCTCCGAGATTTGTAGGGATCGGACTCGGGGACGGGAAGGCTTCTCGCAACACGGTCGATGCGAAGTGGGTGTACATTGGACCTCTCCTCCGCCTCCTCCTCCTCCTCCTCCTCTTCCTCCTCCTCTTCCTCCTCCTCCTCCTCCTCCTCCTCCCTGCCGCTACGGTCTCCTCCTGCACCCTCGAGACCCCATGGAGGGGGGCTGGCCAGGGTTTGCAAGGAGAAGCTGGCCGACAAGCGCACGAAACCACTGCGAGATACGCGTCCCTGCGTCCGCGCGCCTACGTCAATGTGTGGGCTGCGCTCGCTTGTTGGAGCACAATCCATACACGAATGTGTCTGTGTGTGCGCGCGCGTGCAGACGCGCTTGTGAGTATGACGTGTGCGCGTGCACATAGGAGTATGACGTTGTGGCCCGATGTGCGCGGTGCCTGCGCGCGCAGACGACGCGGGGTCACGGGCAGGAGCGAGAGAGAGAAAGAGAGAGAGGGAGGGAGCGAGGAAGAGGGCGACAGAGAGAGAGAGAGAGGGAGGGAGAGCGCGAGCGGGAGCCAGCACGAACGCCTTGTTCGTGGCCCTGTAGTGGTCATTCTGGTGGGAGGAGATGTACGACGTGTCGTACAGGTGATCGTAGGGCCTGCCGGGCGGCCGGCTCCCTCCCCTGACCGAGGCTGCCCCCCGGAGGCCCGGAAGCACGGCCCCGGCTGCCCGGGGCCAGGATCTCCACGACGCCTCCCCGTCGGGCGCGTCTGCGGGGCTTGGAGGGTCGGGGTACCGCCCTCCTCCTCCTCCTCCTCCTCCTCCTCTTCCTCCTCCTCTTCCTCGTCCTCCTCCTCTTCCTCCTCCTCCTCCTCCTCCTCCTCCTCCTCCTGTGCTTCCTCCTCCCTGCCAAACTGTGGCCCCACATAGCCACCAGCTGCCCCTTGTTCCGGCAGCCCTGCGCGAGGCCAATCCTTCCGCCGGGCCGATGCTAGCGTAAGGTCAGCGGAGTCAGGATGAAAATGTATATGTGCTCAGGATGGTGGTCTAACATGCGGGCGTTCTTGCCCAGAGGCGTGAACACCCACTTTAATTCCTGAACACAACGCGCTTGCATGTCAGTGGCGCTCCTGGCGCGGCTCACATTATGATGTCGGCTGGTGCCTGCAGGCAGAAACGGACAACCTGCTCGAGCGCATCACGCCCCACCAGCCCTCTGGGCAGTGGGCGCCTCCTCTTCCAACCCCGTTGTCCCCCTTCGGTGAGGGCTTTCCCCCTTCCCCTTCCCTCCAGGCCTCGGAAAAAAATAGCGAACACTCATGCCACATTCATCTGTGAACGCCTCCCCCTCCCCCCAACGTTCAAAGTTGGCGGTGGGTCTGATGAGTTGCACCTCGACCGCAGTCTCCCCCGCGCGTGCCAACCTTGAGTTTGGGGGGCAGGGGGGTGTTCATTAATTGTTTCCCTCTTCCCTCTCTCACTGGGTGTGGACGGGGAGCCTCGCGAGGAGCTTGAGCGTCCAACACACACACACACCAAAATAACTCCAAGACGGCCCCAGAAAGTCCAAGATGGCATCCAAGAAGGCCCAAAACATATCGAGATGGCTCCGGATGGCTTCGAATATGTATCCGAGAGGCCACAAAACTTGCCCAAGATGACCCCACGTGGCCACGGAGTCTTCCGAGGACGCCCCCGAGGGGCAAAAACCCTTCCAACACATAAGGATAACAACTTGTTTTGACCTTCGCGCCTGTGCGCTTCCGATGGACTTCTGAGGCCTCGAGATGGTTCCGAGATGGCCCAGGAGTGGCCCAAGAGAGGCCCAAGAGTCCCAAGACAGGCCCCAAGAGTGCCCCAGTGCCCCTAGATGGTCTCAAGAGGCGACTTGTCGGGCTCCCAAAGGGGCGGGGCTAACTGGAACATCTCGGTCTTTAATCAGCAAGCAAACACTGAATAACAAACTGTTTTGAGGAAATTGCGGCCCTTGGGGGCATCACCGGGAAGCTTATGGCTCAAAATGGCTCCACGATGGCCCAACTTCGTCCAAAATGGCCTCCAACACGACACAATATAGCCCAGTATGGCTTGGTCATGACCTCCAGAATTCTTCAAAAATGCACCGATTCTGTACGGAAACGGGACCGGTCGCTAATCCAGGCGCTTTGCTCCATGTTTGCGACACCTCGACATCTTCCTCTTTCCTCCCCACTCCCTCCCCCTCACCCACGTCCCTCCCTGCTCCTCACGCCTCCGTCTGCTCCGATTCCATACCCGTTTCATCTCGCCTCCCTCCCGCCCACAGACGTTCAAAGCGACACCCAAATCGAAAACCGACCGCACCGAGAGCGAAACCGAGACCGTCGGCCCAGAAAGATGCAGCAGCGCAGAGGTCGACCGAACCACATCGACCGAACGCAGCCAACCGCGAAGCAGCTGAGCCGACCGAACCGCGACACCTTTGCGCATCCCTCTCGCCTCCCTCTCCTCCTCCCTCCCTCGTTCAGGCCCCTCTCGCCCCTCCTCGCTCCGTCCTCTCTCCTCCTTCCTCCCTCTTCCTCCCCCCCCTTCCCCAAGTAATCCTCCTCCTGCTCCTCCTCCTCCTCCTCGCCTCCACCCTCCCTCGCGACTCTCCCTAATACGAAACCAAGACGAGAATAAATCGGGTGAGGGTAAATCGAGAATCTCTGAAATCTGGCGGCTGTGGAGGATGTCTCGGGCGCCGCGGCCTTCTCAGAGCGTTTTCGAACGCTCTGAGAGCTTCCTGGAACGCTCTGGAACGGACTTATCCTCGTCCTAGCCGCGTCTGGCTCCCCTCCTTTGTCCCCACCTCCTCGCCTCCCTCCCCCCCTCTCGCCTCCCTCCCCTCCTTTCTCCCCCTCGGCCTGTTTGCCGTCAGCGTAGCCGTGGCGGTCGCCATCTCGGCCCGGCCGGCCGCTCCGCCAAGGGAGGCCTCGCAGCAAGGGGCGGGGGAAGACGGGGAGCGAGCCCACGTCAAGGGGGCGGTCGCCGACGGCGGCGCCTCCGCCTCCGCCTCCGCCTGCTCCTCCTCCTCCTCCTCCTCCTCCGCCTCCGCCTCATCCTCCTCCTCCTCCTCCGCCTCATCCTCCTTCCTCCTCCTCCTCCTCCTCCTCCTCCTCCTCCTCCTCCTCCTCCTGTTTGTTGACGTTGGTCAGACTTGAACTCGGTGGCTGAAGCGCTCCTTCGTCCTCCTCCTCCTCCGCCTGTGAATTGCACTCCATACAATGTATGTTTTGAGGGTCCTGATAGAATGTTGTTAGATGCTTTTCCCTCTCGAGGCCCCTGGAGGCCCAGTGTCAGCACATAGCAAGCAACAGAGAGTGACGGCACGTTCGACCACTGCCGTTGAGCTCGCGAGGCCTCTCGACTGACCGAAAAGGTTACCATCACCACCCCCCGCCTGCAGAGCACAGTGAGGGAAGGTGTTCGAGGAGAAGTTGGCAGAGCTTCGGACTTCGAATCGAGGGGAGTTGGAGACTTCGAGTGCTCCGACGAGCTCACACCGCCTCTTCCTCCCCCCCCTCCTCCCCATTCCTCCCTCCCCCCTTCCTCCTGCTGCTGCAGCTGCTGCAGACGGTCTGGAGGGCAAGGCTTGGGTCCCAGCCCGGCGAGCGAGGCCGCCAACGGGCACGATCACCTTCTTCGGCCGCGCGCAAAAGGGGGTAGGGGCAGGGGGGAAGGCTTCTTAGAAGCAACCCTGCTTCTTAGAAGGCGCGGGCCTTCTCTGTAGATGCAAGGCCCGCGCCTTCTAAGAAGCAGCCTCCTTCTAACAAGCCTTCCCCCCTCCCCCTACCCCCTTGTGCGCGCCACCAGCTTCTATAGCCAACATCACCCAGTGGGACGAGAAGCCCCGCAACTTCGTCGACGAGTACATCGTCCACGTAGACGTCCTCGCCCCCACGGGGTCGCACGCTGACGACAACGGCATCACGGAAGGGCCGAGAGCGATCTATCCGAAGACGATTGGAAGCTATCGGCCCCGGCGGCCACAGAAACAAACATACCGAAGACGGCAACAACGGAGGTGAGTTCAAGTTGACTGCGACGACGTACTGCACGAGGAAGGCAGCCCTCAAGCAGCAAGGAGCTCGAGATCCTTTTCAAGGGTCTCACAACGGTGATCACCCCCGGCAATGCATCGCGGGATTCCAGTCTCGGGAGGCACGAAAAACAAAACTAAATTGCGAAACGCTCGACCTCCCCCCCCAGCCATGACGAATGAACAATCTGGCCGACATCAAGTCACCCCCCATGGAGCGAGAAATAACGAGTGCGATGGCGCCGCGCGAGGGGGGGTCTCACGAGCAATAACAACCAACCTTCAAACATTAAACGCACTTCACAGACAAATGAAATGTTTGGAAGCTGGTGCAGTAGCACTGTGTACTAAATACTACTACAGACGACATAAGCAGTAAAGCAATAGCAATCTGTACGAGCCCAGTGTTCTGTAATAGTAATACTCGAATTATGACTGTAATGGCAGTAATGCAGTACTGTGATCCGAATACTGCGCTAGTGCTGAAGTACTCTGGTGCTGTAGTAGTCCACTAGTACGGTCGTACGGTAGTAGGAATACTGTCGTAAGAAATCGCGATTCTATATTGTTTCCATATTATCAAGGAGGCGAAAAGAGGGAGTAAGGTCCTTGAGAGACTCCTGTTTTGCAGGTATCAACAGTACTGTAGTAGTGCTAGTACTCTAATACTTGCCGGGGTAGTAGGGTAGTAGTACTCTAAGTCTGTAATACTCAAGTATGGCAACCGTGCCCTGATACTGCAGCGCTGTAGTAGTGAGATTGTAGTAGTAGCACTCGAGTACTGTAGCCGTTGCATTATTCTAGTAGTGCTGTAATCGTACTACAGTAGTAGCAGTAATGGTAATACTGCAGTGACGGCTGAAGAAGCAGAGCAGTAGTACTCTAGTACTGTAGTACTCTAGGTTTGTAGTAGCACGCTCGTACTGTCGCATTGTAGTAGTACTGTAACAGTTATCGTACTCCAGCACTGCAGTAATAGTACGGCTGTTGTACTGTTGTAGTTGGACAAGCGACAACTGACAACTCGCGCGCAGGCAGACCCCCCACTTGGGAGAAATGACGGGGGGTCCGATCCAAATCGACACCCCTGGAATGACAGACAACGGCGGGAACGTTCCACCACCCACCCACCCCGTTGACGACTGAGCTGACTTGAAAGCACTTGCCAGGTCGACCTCTCATAACCAGGGGAGATGTTGGCGTGGCGGAAGACCAATGACCAGCTCACTCGGGCAGGACGGAGGCGCTGGGCCCACGTCAAAGGCCCCCTCGGCACGGTGCAAGCGACCCTGATGGACATCCGTTTGGCTCCCCAACAGAGCGACAGAATGGGAGAGGTCTCTGGCAGACGGGCAGTAGCAGTTGCGGCTGATCCCAAGCACCTGGCAGGATGACTACAGTCGGCGCGTTGACCTAAGGAACCCCAAATAAGGAACGAGGCCCCTATCTTCCATAAATTAAACTTCGATTTCATATCGAAAACCTAAAGAAAACCTGAGGCAAACCGCGAAACAATTAAGGAGCACGGAGCCCCTCCCCAACGAAAAGGGTTCCTTCTTCAGCGCCCCGACTGTACACGCATGACTGGGAGCGCGTGGCCATCACCGGCGAACTCGTCAGGGACACGAAGAGGCAACCACGGCAGCAGGCAGCCAGACACGAAGACGGACTGAGCAAGGAGGAGGGCACAGGGCGCATCCAGATGGAGCAGAGGAGGTCCCAACACGAAAAAAAACACACAAGTCAAGCGCATGTAAGTTAACTTGACCGTGACCGCCAGCGGACAGCGGACGAGAACACGTCGGAGACGGGCAAGCTGCGGCATCGAGTCGGACAGCTGCAAGAGGAGCGAGGAGGAGTCCGAGACGCTGGTCCACAGGAGCTGGAGCCGCGAGGCCAGCGTGGACCACTGGGACTTCGACGTGGTGTCCGAGGGACTCGTCCAGCAGGCCCTGGCCTCGAAGGAGTCTGGGCCTTCCATCTGGCTTTGAGGCCTCCACCCCTCCTCGATTACTCACCAGGGCTCGAACTCTTCAGGGTATAGGAAGCTGGGCTTTTTCTCAGAAAGGCAGCGGCTTCCCCGAATGCGCTGAGAATTCCGGGTCTGCTTCCGCATGGGACTCAGTGGAGCATTGCGGCGGCCAAATTCAAGCCAGCACATGCTCAGGCAAATCATCGAAACCTGCCTGATCATTTTTGTTATCTTGTTTCGCCGTCCACTCGGTCCCGTCGTAAGATGTTTCTACCCAATCAGTGTTTGAAGGGGTTCTGGTGGATACTGAACGACTCGGCGAAGGCGGCAGGCTGATTTCGGTAAGCGGCTGATTTCGGTCGGCGGCATTGGCTCGGCGCCTGCACGCATATGTTCTTGTATGTTTGTTTCAAATATGTTTTCAGCATGCAATGTTCTGCCGATGCGCCGTCAAGACGCGGCTCTTGCCTGCCTGCCTGCCTGCCTGCCAGCAGGGTTCCTGGGGTCCCCGCTTCCCCGGGGTCCCAATTCTGGGGCGACTTCGATGCTGCAGTGTGCCAGGCGACGCACACTGTAAAGGCGGGATGCGTTGAGCGGCAGCT